AAGTAAGTTATACTTTTGAGCGCCTTGAAATTTGGTATTAATATTTTCCATTGTGATTGAATAAATTTAATTGACGTATTATTAGTTAGAATAAAGTTAAATGTATGTTACATTGTTTCGGATAATAAAAGCAATTTCCATTCATAAAATGATTGAAATCGAGTACATAGACGGATTAAGTAAAGTTGGCCACTATCTAAAGGCCGGCAAGGCTGTGGAGATCTTTCGTGGAGATCCCGGAAGTATTAATCAAGATACATATTTGATATTATTTTATATTAATAAGTGACCTTACCATGGGCTGCTAGCAAACTCAATCTGATACCAAGGCAGGATAGCCATGTTGCAGCATGTTTCTATTTCGGTTATTATAGAAGAAAATATACAGTTTATAGGATCTTTTAAAGCATTAATACATGGAAGAAAATTGTCTCTATCATGCTTATAATCATAACAATTAACTGTTTGAGAAGTTATAACTTGTTTGAATTTTGCCATCTTACTCAGATCTCTCGTATTCTTAATCTAAATTATTAATTTTAATCAATCGTTCTCAATCTAATTAATCGTAATCAATTCTAGTTGTAGGAAAAAAGATTTTAAATTCTGATTTTTCATTTTAACTTGATTTCGAAGGCATTAAGAACCATTTAATAATATAACATTAAAAACATGTTTGTTCTGACAGTATGAAAGATGAAAATAAAAATATTGTGAAAATATGTTCTGTTATACTTTACTTTCACATAGCTCAAATTAATTTACAGAAGAAATTAAAATATACAAATATATATAAATTATAATATTTACAAAAATTAAAATATATAACCTATACTTCTTAAACTAGAACTAAATAATTTCTATTTTATTGTTACTTTCTTTCAGAATACATGAACGTAGAAATAAAAATAGAAGTAAAATAAAAATTTAAAAAGAACATAAATTATGATGTGCAATTTATTGATCGGTCTTGTTATACAACGTAGCTCATGTAAAATGCGACACTCAAAAAATTTAAAATATTTGTTGTATCAAAAAGTTGTTTATGAAAAAGTTTCATGCATTCAAAAGGTCTCTCTAACTATGTAAACAAAAATTTGCCTTCGCTCTCTTTTGAAGAGGCAAGGAGTAACTTCGTAATTTCAAATGGAATTTTCTATAAAATGTTACATACTAATTCTACGAGAAAAACAAATAAGTTTTATCTGAAATATTTTATTTGAAAAATGTTTTTATCAAAAGTTATGAACACTTAAACTTTAAAATAGAATGCATTTAAGTTAATATGATAAAATCATAAATGAAATAAAAGACCTTGTATAATTACATTATTATTCATCAATATATCAAGTGTTATATAACAGCAACAAAATTAATTATCTCAATATGTTTTGTTGAATATCCAAAACTATAGTTTCTATTAGGTTTGATAGAGAACCAACAATATTATAATATCGAGCTATTAGGTACAATCACTAATATTATATAACTCTGAGATTCAGTTCCTATAACATAAAAGATTTTTTGTTCATGTATTACAGCTTTAAATTTGCTAAGCTAAAGAGGTGTTCAATTGTAACAAATTTAGTTGTAAAAATCTTTTTATTTCCCGTATAGATTCGCGAATAGGACGACGACAATGATTAACGAGAAATTAGTATAGTGTCTTCGTATAGATCTGAATTCGTATAATTCCGAATTAGAAATACAGTGGCTTTGCAATGTTTAGCCTAGCATTGCGAGTACGATCATCACTGTCCGAGCGGAAGACATTAACGGTCGTATGTCCGCTCACTGTCACAAATACCATGGCGTACCCGATCGGTTCGCTTTGCATTCTGCTGGCTCGAGAAATCGGTCATATTTACGATCGACCCACAGAGTATGGTACCTGGATTCAGCTGGTGCTCTATAAATCCAGGGATACGCGACTATGTATCGGACGGATCTTTAGCGCGCGCATTGTGTGCATGTGCACTTATGTACAACCTTTATCCTGGATTAACTACATGCGCTTTCGCCCTGGTCTCGATCCGTCGTCGTTCGTGTACACGTATGTGTGGGTGTTTATCAAGCGCGCACGTGCCTGGTGTCGCTTGTACGCTATCGTGAAAAAGACGCTGGAGTGTACCGCGATCGTGGTATCGCGACGTCGAGTAAAACCGGTGACATTGTCCCTCGAAAGGAGAAAAAAATATCCGATAATTCGACGTTCTCCGCAGGTCGACGGTATTACTTGCATACGTGAGAGCGAGGGAAAGGGAAAGAGAGAGAGACAAAGAGAGAGAGAGAGAGAGAGAGAGAGAGAGAGAGAGAGAGAG